ATTTTTACCCCCTTGACAGTTGGGTGAGGCAAATATACATTGCAATAACCATTATTCTTAGAGTCATTCTCTGCTGGACTGAAGGAGACTCCTTTTGCTATTATAGCACCTTCTATCTGTTGGATTAATGTGCTGGTAGCTTTAGTAAAACATTGGCTCAGCCATTTCTAACTTCAAGTGGACTGGGATTTCCAATCAGTGTGAAATAATTGTTCTGAAGGATCCTCATAGCACAACCCTTCCTATTTTATTTAGAAGCAAATCCCTCTGTGTTCTGCATAGATATTGAGAAATGTGAAGATCTCATTTTTATCGCAATGCTGTTGATGGCCCAGTTTTCATTTGAATCATCTGAAAGTGCTGTCTGGCATGACAGTTGTGTCAGTAACCCTGAAGTAGCAAGCTAAATAAATGCTGGTTATTTTTTTCTTTCAAAAAAGCATTATTATCCCATAGTTGGGAGTAGATTTGGTTGAGAGAATTAAGTGAATTAAGAGACCTCCAAAGCCAAAAATGTATATAGAATGAGAGGTCCAGTCTACTATTGGTATTTTCTTAGTAGAATAAATTATGCAAAATAGAAAACACCTGTATTTATGCATAATATATAGAGATCAAAGGATTCTAGCTTTGTTACCAACACAGAATATACTCAGGATATTCTTTGGAAATGGAGGAACTCATGATTGTGTGATTTAGCCCTGCCTTGGCAATATGAAAGTCAAATATTTAGTACTAAACACAAGTCTATGCCCCAAAAGCTAGCTCTCCAACTTGCTGAGTCTTTAATGGCTGGATGTCCCTGTTGCTACATAGAAAGCTGCTTCCTCCCCTCCGCTTTTGAATATTCATCTTCTTTCAGATACATGTCAAAAGAGGACTATGACACCCCGGCCTGCAGCTGTCAGGCCTAACTCATGTGCTTGCCTCCTTTTCCCCTCAAGTGCAACTGGGAATCAATAGTGCATGACAACACCCTTTGATTTACATTCTTGCTGGCAGAAAGAAAGGTCAAAGGCCAAGTTCTTCGTTTTCATAGAAAACTAATTAGACTCCATCGACACTGAATCAATAAAACTGATCGGGTGATTCACACAGAGGGAGCCATTAAAATCCCTGTGACCTTTGATCCCGATTCCCTAACCTGAGAAGGAAGAGGCTTGGTTACATTCCCTAGTGCCTTGGAGGGCAGAACCTACACAGTAAAGATGGACTGGTCTGAAGGGGAGGAAACACGGATTCTGCCTGTCACGGGCTCATACGCTACTGCTCTCTTGAGTCTCTATTGGCCAAACCATCTACAGGAATGCTGCCATAGGTGAACTGAAAAACAACAGATCGTGGAGGGGAAAAAAGAACAGAGTCTAAGCAATCATTTGATTCTAAAAATTCTAAACATGTATGAAGAATACTGATTCAGTATGTTCTTCACACACTTGGTGAAGCTTCCAGTCATCCATTTATCATTATTCTCCAAATCAGAGCAACATATGTTTGGCAATTATTCATTGGCCTTCAATGTTTGATTACTTTAAAACCAAATTAGGCTTTTAAACACCCTATAGTTCTTGCCTTGGCTGTAAAACATATTGTACATTTCTAAAACTAATGCAAAAAAAAATGTGTACAGGTATGTGGACTTACAACTTTAAGCGACCATTTGAAGTTACAATGGCACTGAAAAAAGCAACTTATGACCGTTTTTTCCCACACTTATAACCATTGTAGTATTCCCATGGTCACATGATCAAAATTTGGACACTTGGAAACTGGCATGTAATTATGAATATCTGGGGGCATGTGATGACCTTTTGCAACCCCCTGACAAGTAAAGTTAATGGGGAAGCCAGATTCCCTTAATAGCTGTGATACTAAACAACTGCAGCGAGTCAATAACAGTAGCAAGAAAGGTTGTAAAATGGTACGAAACTCGCTTAAGAACAGAAATTTTGGGCTTGATTGTGTTTGTAAGTCAAGGCCTACCTGTATTGTGTATAAACAGTATCAATGACCAGTTACTAGCAGTATATATAATCTTATGCTATTTTTCTTCTATACTTAAAATAGGGAATTTGCTTTCCCGTTTCCTGGGGTCCCAGAACCAATATACACTGCTCAAAAAAATAAAGGGAACACTTAAACAACACAATGTAACTCCAAGTCAATCACACTTCTGTGAAATCAAACTGTCCAATTAGGTAGCAACACTAATTGACAATCAATTTCACATGCTGTTGTGCAAATGGAATAGACAACAGGTGGAAAGCATAGGCAGTTAGTAAGACATCCCCAATAAAGGAGTGGTTCTGCAGGTGGTGACCACAGACCACTTCTCAGTTCCTATGCTTTCTGGCTGATGGTTTGATCACCTTTGAATGCTGGCGGTGCTTTCACTCTAGTGGTAGCATGAGACGGAGTCTACAACCCACACAAGTGGCTCAGGTAGTGCAGCTCATCCAAGATGGCACATTAGTGCGAGTTGTGGCAAGAAGGTTTGCTGTGTCTGTCAGCGTAGTGTCCAGAGCATGGAGGCGCTACCAAGAGACAGGCCAGTACATCAGGAGACGTGGAGGAGGGCAACAACCCAGCATCAGGACCGCTACCTCTGCCTTTGTGCAAGGAGGGACAGGAGGAGCACTGCCAGAGCCCTGCAAAATGACCTCCAGCGGGCCACAAATATGCATGTGTCTGCTCAAACGGTCAAAAACAGACTCCATGAGGGTGGTATGAGGGCCCGACGTCCACGGGTGGGGGTTGTGCTTACAGCCCAACACCATGCAGGACATTTGGCATTTGCCAGAGAACGCCAAGATTGGCAAATTCACCACTGGCGCGCTGTGCTCTTCACAGATGAAAGCAAGTTCACACTGACAGACGTGACAGGGTCTGGACAGATGTGTGAGACATGACAGGGTCTGGAGATGCCGTGAAGAACGTTCTGCTGCCTGCAACATCCTCCAGCATGACTGGTTTGGCAGTGGGTCAATAATGGTATGGGGTGGCATTTCTTTAGGGGGCCGCACAGCCCTCCATGTGCTCGTCAGAGGTAGCCTGGCTGCCATTAGGTACCGAGATGAGATCCTCAAACCCCTTGTGAGACCATATGCTGGTACGGTTGGCCCTGGGTTCCTCCTAATGCAAGACAATGCTAGACCTCATGTGGCTGGAGTGTGTCAGCAGTTCCTGCAAGACAAAAGCATTGATGCTATGGACTGGCCCGTCCGTTCCCCAGACCTGAATCCAATTGAGCACATCTGGGACATCATGTCTCGCTCCATCCACCAATGCCACATTGCACCACAGACCGTCCAGGAGTTGGGGGATGCTTTAGTCCAGGTGTGGGAGGAGATCCCTCAGGAGACCATCCGCCACCTCATCAGGAGCATGCCCAGGCATTGTAGGGAGGTCATACAGGCACATGGAGGCCACACACACTACTGAGCCTCATTTTGACTTGTTTTAAGGACATCACATCCAAGTTGGATCACCCTGTAGTGTTTTTTCCACTTTAATTTTGAGTGTAACTCCATATCCAGACCTCCATGGGTTGCTAAATTTGATTTCTATTGATAATTTTTGTGTGATTTTGTTGTCAGCACATTCAACTATGTAATGAATAAAGTATTTAATAAGAATATTTCATTCATTCAGAACTAGGATGTCTTTATTTTTGTGTTCCCTTTATTTTTTTGAGCAGTATATATATATACACCCCATATTCAGATTATCCCTGGTTGAGGTAGATGAGGTGTAAATATTTGCCAGCTCAAGATTCTCATTTCACACAAAAGCCCTTTTAATAATTTAATGTTTTTTTAACTGTTGCCTGATGACCAGGCTTCATACTAGACTCTGGTCTCTTCTCACTACCTATCCCTATTCCCCTTCTTCAAAAGCACAAGTTGGGAGATGAAAGAAGAAGTCTGCTTACAGGAACCTGAATAGTAAAAGGGTAGTAGTCCCTTTTCTTAAGTTTCTCCTACTGAAAACTAAGGAAATAAGATACTAATCCCTGAAGGCTAAGTATTTGTAAATAATACTGTGAGTGCAAATATACTTGAGAATGAAGCAAATGTATATGCAGAAACTGCCAGCCATTTTGTGTTTAAAGAGGCTTTAGAAGGAGGCGGCAATAACACCCAATAGGAGATACTGTAGCTGGCAAGGTCACGCCCACACCCTTGCAGCACAGAAGAGCCAAGTTCCTTTCCCCCAAACTTTATTCATGTGGCACATTTACAGCAAGGATGAGAGTAACGAGCCAATGAAGAGGTCAGGTTGGGTTCAGCTGGAACATCCACACACCATGCATTATTATTGGGAAGGCCCAGTGCCTGTATCAGCTCACACAGCCGGATTGCTGCATGAGCAGAGCCCTCTTGGTGTGGCTCCCAAGTTGATGGCAGCTGGAGCCTATGCCCCTGGGGGGTGGGGGTGGGGTGTCTATTCAGCAAGGGCCAGGGAAGGATATTCTGTCAGGAAAACACTGAGCCAGGAGAAGTTGATCTTCCTCCCCCTATACTGACGCAGGGCATTGGGAACTGGAGTAGGCCGTATCTCTCAGGCAACACACACTGGTTTCAGCCATTGTGAAAAGGGAAATTAATCAGATTGTAAAGGAAAAAGAACAGAGATTTCAACCATCATGCAGATTGCTACAGTGTACTGAGGCTGGGAATACAACTCCTTGGCTGGACAAGCAGTATCAGGCATGTCCACTGCCCGCAATGGACTGCATACTAAATGATGGTCATGTGCAAGCACAAAGAAACACTTAAATAGGACCCCTGACATTCTGAGGATGCACCAACAAGAGACCTGGGTGCAAGAAGTGCTGCACATCAGGTGAGCATCAACCAGGATGCTCTAACATGTAATACAGCCCCTGCTGAATGAAATCCCAGGGATATAGGTGGCTTTTGGTGGGCATGGAATACAGGCACTTCACCTTGAACAGAAAGAGCCGAGCTTCCTTAATCACATACAGGAGGAACCAGGGATGGGGCTTAGTGTTTATTTAAATCAGAAAGGGAACGAGCAGAAGGCTGCTGCAGAAAGGGGACTGTCTGGATGCTGCTCAGTCAATATTTAGCTGACACGCAGGGGACACAGTAACAGATTCACACAGGAGAAGAGGGGCTTGACCGCAGCTCTTGAGATAATGTACTCAAAATAAAGAGGGCAAGTGCCCAGAACATAGCACCACGGTCTTGCTACAGGCGCAATTGTGAGCACAGAGAAAGAGAGAGAGAGAAAGAGAGAAAGACGCCAATGGGAATCAGAAGCCAACAAAAGGGAAAACAATCTACGTCTCTAACCATGTGGAGCAAGCGCCCTAGGGGGCTGCAGGCTGGACCAGGCCGGGCAGGCAGCTGGCCCTAGAGAGGGAGTCACTTCAGGCCTACACAGAGAATCCAGTTCCATATATACAGCCTCTACTGGCAGAACAGCAAAACTGACGGAGTCGTGGGGTTGCTCGTTCCTCTGTCTTCTTTCTGTCATTCGAATGCTCCAGCCCATCGCACCCATGTAGCAGGAGCCGGCCGCATGCAGCCCTGTCCGGCCGGCCCCAGAGATCAAAAGGGCTTGGAGGTCTGCTTGAAGATGAACCCTCTGTGGGCCAGCGTCTTCATGATGTTGGCAATGTTCTTGCAGTCATCTAATATCCAGAGAAGAAAACAGAAGAACAAATTTCAATTGTGGGTAAAAAAGACACGTGGGCCTACACAATCTAAAGTGTAGTGGCAGAGGTAGGTGTAGCTGTGCATACAGAATGCTTCACTGAAAAAAAAATCCGTTCCTAACATGCCACAACCCATGACCTTTCCTATAAAATTACTCAAGCCTACATGAGCATTTTGCCATTTAAACATGAGTATTATGATTACCAATATCCTATCTTTTGCTCAGACATCACAATAGAAAGCAAGAACTGAAACACAACTGAAAAGAATAAAACTGGCAATTACTAGGATTCAACATATATCAAAGTATGCAATGAAGCAGGGTAAATTTTAATCAAATTGTACAGAGCACATTTTGTCTAACAAAAGAAAATTGAGGAAGTATGCAAACTACTAAAAATGGCAGCTGTAAAATCTTCGCCACTATAACGTACATGGACAATCTTGGCCTCTCATTTCCTTGCTCTTTCCATTCAATGAATACTATATTTTAGTACAGGGGAGGGAATTCTGAGCAGATGAGAGGAAGACAGGTGGCAATTTAAAAATAGTGAGAGAAAATAAACATTGGCAATTGATTTTTGCTTAATTATGCTACTAATGTTGGGGATAGGTATCTGACATTTTAAAAACGTTTGTACTCCACCTTTCTTTCAGAAACCCTAAATTCAGCTACAGTATAACATTTTGCGACAATACCTTTTAAAATCCATACACTACTAAAACTATAATTTCAATTGGGTGAAACGGGACAACACAGGGCAACAATTCTGAATCAACATACTTCTAATAGTCTAGCCTAAAAAGAATGCACCCAGAATTTGGGAAGCATTACTCTCATGGAATTAAAATTTGTTGAAGATGTGATTATTTCAACACTGCTGCGCCACTGTGCCAGCCACAAGTGACACGATCATCACTGCCAATGCTCCCCACAAGGAAAGTCAATGGGGAAGCTGGCAGGAAGTCAGAAATGGCTCCTATTGCTACTGCCTTTTTGTCCACCCATTGTCATTCTGTTCTGAAACAAGGGCTCAGTGGCTCACAGGTTGTCTAGTGAGTATAGAAAACTGCATCAGTGAAATTATACAGGATCTTCACAAATTTGTTATTATATCAAACTTCGATATAAGCAGGGGAAAAAAACCATCCTTAAAACTTGACTCAGAATATTTAGGGCAGAGATGGAGAACTGATTTTGCATCAAGTGTCAGTCTTGTGGCAATAACAAACACGTCCTGTTTTATCAAGTCCAACAAAGTATTGTCTTTTCCTGGACTGCAGTCTTTTCAATGTCAAAATTCTCTTTCACTCTGAAAAGAGCAGCTGAGAACTAATGAATGAATTTGGCAAGTTAGTAATTTTGTAGTTTCATACATAAATATACAATGACCTGACAGAAAGAAATCCTTTTGTGGCAGGGAATTGTTCATCCATCTGACTTGGCTATGACTGAAAACTCCAACAACATCCATTTATCCTCCATCTCTTTTAGAAATTAGAATTTAGGAAGAGATTAATATTTTTGCCCCCTTGTTGCTAGACCTCAATTTCAAATATTTTTCAGCTGTTGGCAAGTGGAAGAGCCTCTGCTTTAAACTATGCTCACATTATATTTCCTCTTGTTCTGGGTTTAGTTCAAGTGAAACAAACTCCTTTTCAAATCTAGCAAAAAAATGATTCTGATCTAATTCCCAATTAAAAACATTGACATACCAGACCTTGGATTAGTTGTAGATGTGAAATGCCAGGTGAGGATACAACAGACCACCTGGTCTAAGGTAGATACAGTTTCTGCAATGGCAGTATCTTGGAGAAAGTCTTGTAAGGCTAGCATCAGAATGACTAGCAATGCCAGAAACAATTCAGCATGTTCGATCACTTCAGATTCCGTGCTCAGTAAAAAATTCATGGTAACTTCTAGTATTTTTTCTTTTTAAAATGTTCAGACTACATAATTATATGATTATCTAATTATATATAAATTAGAACAAGTACAAACTGGTGACAGTGAAAAAAAACTACCAAGGACAAAGATGTCCTTTTCAACTCAGAAATGTTACAAACACAAAAAGCCTGGTTTATCTGCCTTAGAGATCCCCTTTCCTTATAAAAGTCAACAACTAGAAGTAGAAACGTGATTTAGACTTAAGATTTTATAGATCTTAAATTATGAATTCTGTCACAAACAAAGATAATAGCCACAAGTATTTGTGTTAAGCATACACACGTTTGGAACTTTATTGCAGGCCCTGCTAACTGTTTTCCTCACAGTTAACAGTGGAAGGATACAGCAAAAAAATTAGGGCAGAAATATAGACAGATACAGCAAACCATTCCCTTCTGAACTAACAGGGAAACAAGACTTGAGCTGATTTGTGTTACCTGGACTAAACGCAAGCAGAGTTTGATAAAATAGAAGCAAGGCTTAAATTGATTCTTGGTGTCTATATTTCATGTTGAAAATTGGCTTGTAAATCCATGTTTTGATCTATGGTGGCCGTCTCCTTAAGAAAAAGCAAGAGTAAATGTGTAATTTCTCCCTTGACAGCACACAGTGGCGAGGCGATCCTTCTTCCCGCTCCCCTCCGACTTGGGACAGCTCCGCTGCCTCCCATCAACACTCTTTCTTTCTCGCCCCACGCCTTGATGTCTCCATTTCATTAGTGCGCGCCCATTCATCACGCTGTTACCGTAAGGGTGACTTTGCCCACTTGCATGTGGCAGGCAGGCCCTGGATGACATGGGGTGGTGCTGCCACTCTAAAGGGGGAACAAAGTAGAACCCACACACACACACACACACACACACCTGCTAGTAAATGGATGTTGCGGCAGAGGGACAGCTGCATCATTACTGATGTGTAAATGATAAAGCAGTGCCTCTACATCCATCTCTTAACTGTAAATCCAGGGAGTGCTTTATAATCAAGCGGCAGCGATAATAATGTGAAATTAGGTCTCTCTATCAAAGGGGGGAGGCCTTTTAATCACGGCTTAAAGGGTGCAAGCGCTGTTTATCATAATTGAACTGTATCCAGGCTAATTGTGGCCATATTTCACTGTCTAGGAGACAGGCACACTGTCTGAAGAATGAACACCAGGGGCCGAATGGAGCAGGAAACTGCTGTCCAACCAATCTTGGCCCCAAAGTAATGGCACTTCCCTATTCAGGGAGGATATCAATAGATATTCAGAACATCTCCATCACTTTCCTTCTGATTAACCTACAGAGGACTGGTAACACAGCAGAGAAGCAGCAGAAAAGAGAAACTGCAATCTTGATCTGCTGAATTTTGCAAAGGCATACAATTAAACAGTTCTGTGTGAGTCTACCGCCACCATCATTTTGTATCAAAAAACTAGAAAGTAAAAAAAATAGATAATACAATTATGCAAAATCTGCAATCATGTCACATGCTGTGCTTAATCTGAAAACAAGTGCAAAACAGAATTATTATAACAATTATAGGAATATAGATATTACATAATAAGTATATCTTGGCCAATTTAGTCTAGAATACTATGTAGAAGACCCAAGTGTTATAACAATGGTAGTAAGGCAAAGCGATCTTAGAGAGCAAACAGTTGGAAATCCTCACATTAGAACAAGCATGTATTCTTTTTGTCACAAATATTGCATCTGCCTTAGCCACAGATTTGGGCATAGCTAAAACAATAATATCCACAAACCTCAATCAAAATAGATATTGCCCAAAAAGTGAAAATAGAAGGAATTCCTCTCTAAGGAGAATCTCATTTGATTGGGAAGACTGACTGGTGTTATTTCTCAGCCGTACTTCTGCACAGCAGGGCCTAAACAGTCTCCAAGCAGAGCACAATCATTTAGCACGCGTTAAATGATTGTCTTTCAGTCAGAGACTCAAAAGCAAATGTAATACATTTTAAGTGCCACTTAGATAATACAGGTCTAGTGGCCTCGCCTTGAGAACAGTCCATAAATGGAATGGTTGGTTCGTGAAGATTATACAGTAGGGATGTCAAACTCACAAGCGTCACATTGTCACGTGACATATTGTGACTTCGCTAAACCAGGGGTGGGCATGGCCAGTTAGTGACGTATCTAGCCTGTAGGCTGCGAGTTTGACATCCCTGTTACATATAAAGCAACTATCTTCCTCCTATCACCTCCCCTTCCCCACTTGGCTGAGAATTGGAGCTAGGAATCCTGGTAGTTGCAGCCTCAGCACTTCTGGGCAGCTGTAAGTGAAGGAAGACTATACAATAACATAACCATATTATATAGCTTTTAATTATTCCAAGTGTCAAACCCTGGTAGCAGTGAGTCTATCTATGAGTCAACTGAGATACACAATAAATAGATCCCATGTCTATTTCAAAATATAAACTAAGTTTTCATAGCCAAAAATTTCCAACTGAAAGTATACCATTATATATTTCACACTATTGCATATTTCCATTAAACTATCCAATCTAAGCACATTAATTTATCACGTTTGTTGGTGTTTGTAATATTAAATGATTACTTCTACGTGTGAAACAGTCATTGTATGTATGATACTATGGTGATAATCTTTAATTTAATTCCCCATCTCTTCAGACGTAAATATATCAAGAAAGGCAATTCTCACATTAACTGAGCTTGAGAGGGCACAAATTAACAAGCAGTAGCGTAATCTACATGGATTCATGGAACTACTCTGGATCAGCCAAGATAACGGATTGCATAGTTTTTCTCATGATCTGTATAGCAATACCCAGCCTAAGACCATTCCCTCATCCCATTCCTTGACAGACCAGATTTACAGATTAACAGAGTTGGGAGGGACCTTGTAGACAAGAAGTTGGGGCCAGAAATATCACTTTCTCAGTGCAGCAACCTCCCTCTGAAACCATTTCCCCCCAAGGTCAGATTAAGTCCCACTGCCTATCCTTTCCAAAATGGTAAAAAAAAAAAAAAACCCAAACCCCACATTTCTCCCTTGCAGAGATTT